TGACAAAAATGTAACTAAGTAACTTTTACTTTGAGTACATTTTGTTGACGATACTTTTTACTTTTACTTGAGTAAAAATTTAGGCAAGTACTTTTACTTGTAATTGAGTAAAAAATTATAAAAGTATTGGTACTCGTACTTAAGTAGGAAATTTTAGTACTCTTTCCACCTCTGCCAGCTGGTGCGAAGGCTCATTTAAAGGGAACACATGCAATGTTGTGTGTCCTTTCTGGCCAGATCTTGAATAGATGGTGAAAGGTCAGACTGTACCTAAACTGACCATTGCTGGATGTTACACTTTTAAATTAGCAGATGATCTTTTATAGGATATTCTACTTCAGGATTACCCTTTGGTAGCCTAGAGATAGAAACTGGCCTGAACAGTTTTGTGTCTGGCTAATCACATCATTCTGTGTTCGTTGTGGGCGGGCTTAACACCAGAGTTGCAACAGAGACCCAATCCCAATACTTTTACTTCAGCTGCTTTTTAACCCTTTAAGACCGGCAGGAGCGCCGGCGCTCCCATTTGCATATCCGTGTTCAAATGCTTGTAAAACTGAAACTATATAAGATGGAACAAAAATGTTTTTTGCATATTATACCAGAGGAGTTACACTTATATCTACACAGTGAACATGTCCCAGAGTGCTGCGTATTTCCGCTAATTTGTTTGCAAAAAACAACCAAAATGCGCAAATTGCCAAAGCGTTTCATTCAGACACAGATGCTGTTTCATTCTGATCTGCAGCTCACAGGGCTTCACACACTAGAATAAATGTCCTCACGTTGTCATCGTGAACCATCACATGATTATCACTCACCCAATAACCTGCTTTGATGTAATTTCCCCCGCGAATCGTAGTTTTATTTGTATTCCCAGTCTTTCGGCTTTTCCTTGTGCTTTTTCTCAATAATACTTTTAGACACACACATCCTATACACATCACACACCCTCTACAAACTCCCGACACACTCACACACCACTACGAGCGTTTTGATGAATCGCGGACCACCAAAATGGTACACCCTCCCTGAAGCGGTTGATGCCAGTACAGCGCCAGATGAGGATGGAGTTTCTGTTTCCTCATCCGCCCTGGATTCTGCCGACAGTGGGGAGGAACCTGACTTTATTGAAGGAGTTGATCCGTCATACGATCTGTATGTATAAATTCATGAAATATTCTTTATTATTGTTATTATTATTAGTGAGAGAAAAGTGCAAATATATACTACTGAAAAATTAGCAACTGATATTCTGCATTATTATATTAGACTTCTGCTGAACAGTTTTATTTTTGTTCTGTGTGCAGTTGTGATGAAGTTGAGGAGGAAACTGAGGTCTCCTGCACCTCTGAGGCTTCCTGGGCACCAGAGAGAGGCAGAGGGAGAGGAAGGAGTCAGAGGAGAAGACCTCCAGGAAAGAGAGGTGAAAGCTCCAGGTCAGAAACCGTTTCTTTTCATGAAGCTGCCTGGAAAAATGAAAAGGACCCTGACAACTTTTCACATCCTCCACCACATTTCCTGCCAAAAAGAAGGCCAGGTATACAGCCACCTGTTTCCGAACAATCTACTCCATCTGAGCTGTTCAGGATGTATGTTGACAGGGCTGATATCAAAACTCTGTGTGCCAACACTAATAAAAATGCAGAAAAAAAAATTGCTGCAGGCAAAAAATTCAAATGGACTGAGGTGACGGAGCCTGATGGGATAATACTGCACATGGGGATTTTGAAGCTGCCAAAGGTCAGAGATTTTTGGCATGCCAGTTCAATTTTTCATGTGCCATATCCTTCCAAGATCATGTCCAGAGACCGGTTCCTCACCATTACTTGGAACATTCATATGAATGACCCTGTGGAAGATGCCCTCAGTGACAGCAAAACAGGCTCAGATGACTATGACTGTCTGCACAGAATACGCCCGCTGTGTCACAGTTTACGTGTAGCCTGCAAAGCTGTGTACCACCCCCAGCAAAACCTCTCCGTGGATGAGCATATGGCTGCCACCAAAGCCAGGATTGCCATGATGCAGTACATCAAAAATAAGCCAACAAAATGGGCTATACATTTTTTTGTTCTGACAACACAGGCTATACTGTTCAACATCTACACAGGGAGGTCCTCTCTGAATAGTGGGAAAGGGCTGTCATTTGATGCTGTGATGTCACTCATCAACAAACCCTACCTGGGATCTGGATATCACATTTACTGTGATAACATTTACACCAGTTCAGCTCTGTTCCACCACCTTTATGACGTGGGGTTTGGAGCCTGTGGGACATTTCGGGACACAAGAATTGGCATTCCAAAAACTAAAATGAATGCACTAACAAAGATATCGCCACGAGGCTCAATCTGGTGGATCAGAGAAGGAGCTCTCATTTTTGTAAAATTGATGGACACAAGGGAGGTGAGTGTGTGCTCCACTCTGCACACTGCCTTCTCAGGGGACACAGTACAAAGGTCTTCCAAGGTCGGGGGGAACACACAGCAGCAGAGGTGCCAGTACCACCTGCTGTGAAAGACTACAACTGCTTCATGGAGGGAGTTGACCTGTCAGACCAGCTGATTGACTCCTACTCCTCACGGAGAAAGAGCAGAAAGTGGTATGTGACAGTGCTGCATCTCTTCATCGACATTGCTGTAACAAACAGCTACTGTATTTAGAAGAAGAAGAAGAAGAAAGTATCATTTCTATAGAGCCTCTGAAGATAAAAAATCACGAGGCGCTTCACAAAAGCAAAAAATGTAAAAATATAAAAAAGCATTTAGAAAATGTTTAAAAATATATTTAAAATGAGCAAAAATTGGCAATTGTGATTAAAAAAAATGTTAAGAAAGAGAGAGAGTGACTAGGAAAGAGGGAAATCAGTGGATCCTGGGGAAGGTGGAATAGGTGGGGAGAGCAGAAACCAAAGAGCTGAGTGTCAGATTGCAGCAGCCGCCGCAGACACACCAGGCCTTCCAGGAGCAGCTGATAGCTGAGCTCTGTGGAGTTCCCTCCCATCCAGTCCAGGAAAAGTATCAGCACATCCCTGTTGCCATTGTTGAGGGGGCATCTGGCCACAAAAAAGCCACACTGGGGCGCAGGAAGTGCAGGGTGTGTGGGAAGCGTACTCCCTTCATGTGTGAGGCCTGCAAGATGCCTCTCTGTGTGATCGTGGACAGGAACTGTCACAAAATCTATCACAGCTCCACTGGTGCTGCTGAAATGTAAGGTTTGACCTTGTACAACATAAATCAAACTTAGTAAATAGTTAATTTTTGTGTGCATGCTGGGATTCTTTGCATTTTAGCACAATTTATTCTACACATGTTCCAGAAGAACTTAGAACTTTAATTGCAATTTATTTTGATGTACTTGCTGTCTTTTTGCACATTTGGTTCTGTTTTCATGTCCATTACAGTCTATAGCATGGAGTATATTAGCAATACATTTATGAAATACTTTTTGCCTTTCTCTACACATTTTCCTGAAGCACTTAGAACTTTGATTGCACTGATTGAAATTGTTTATTTTGATGCACGTGCAAATTTTGCACAATTTATTCAATTTTCGTTTTTGTTACAGTTGATATAAATGGAGTATATTACAAGGTAACTTATGAAATACTCTTTGCCTTTCTCTATACATGTTCCTGAAGTACTTAGAACTTTGATTGCACTGGTGTAGATTGTTAATTTTGATGTACATACTGCCATTTTGCAAATTGTGCACAATATTTTTTTTTTTTTTTTTTTCATTTTTGTAACAGTTTATGTAACTGAGTGTATCTCAGAAACTAATTTATGGAAGCATTTCAAATAAATGTTTTGTTGTTTGAAAGGATTATGTGCAACTTTTTTTCATTGACAATTTTGAGGGATAAAGGTGTGGCATTTCTGTATAATGAAAAGTATGTGTAAAATCAAAAAATGATTTTCAATTTCTGAATGGATAATAGCATTTTTTTAGTAAATAATTTAGTTGCTATGTACATTTTACATATATATTATTAAAATTTAGAATATAAGGGTTGTATTGATGTATAGCAAGTTGAAATACTCCCAAAAAATGGCACCACAGCATGTAAAAATGTAAATATAAGTTCTGGCGAACTTGTTCTATGGCAGGTCTTAACAGGTTAAAGGAGACCACTGAGTCCACTGATCTCAGGCTCAGGGGGAGAGAGGTCCAGAGTCTGGGGGCCACAGCAGCAAATGATCTGTCACCTTTGGTCTTTAGCCTGGTGCGCTGCACAACCAGTAGGCTTTGGTCACTGGACCTCAAAGTTGCCATCATCGTCATCATCATTAGTAATTGCAGTTTCAGGCTCCAACTTTTTAAATCCCCTTTTCATGCTTGATCTATTTCTTTTTCTCGTTCTTTGGCACCACCAAATAGTTTTGGAGTGCAGCCACAGCTGCAGCTTACTGCTCTCCTCGGGGATGGGTCAAATGCGGAGATGTAATTTAACCAGTGTGTGGTGATGACTAATGGGACTTTTCATTTATGTATGTGATATTGTAAAAAGAAAAAAAAACACTAACAAAACAAATGCATGTAAAAATCCATGCAATACTCACTGATGTTTGCAGTGTTTGAAATGGTTAGCTCATCAGTACTGTTGGGTGTGAACTAGATTTGTTCAGGGACCTTTATCTTTTATTAGTAAGATACAAATATGGATGGCTTTTGACCCGTAACACGTTTCAAAATAGCCGAAACATTTCTTTAAACCAGCGGAGCACTTTTTATAAATGTAACTTCATATTCAACATTATGCGAAATCCTGAAGTTCAGTCAGATCTGATAAGTGTTCTAAGATCACTACATGATCAACTCTTAGTTTAGTTTGAGCAAATGAGTGATAATGAAATGGTTAGCACACTAATGGTAACAATAAGTTCAGTTCTTCAAACATGGCCTGATGAAATCTGTCCGAGTTGTCTCGTCACTTTGACTTGTCACACCCAATCCTGTCTTACTGAGGAAGGTTAAACTGTCATCTTACTTCACAGGGCATCTGTGTTGTGAACAACTTCAAAGGCGTTCACAACGCAGCGGCAAAACAGAAGACGGAGGAGTACCGTGGGTTGCCTCTGATGACGTTCCCCCGTGTAGAGAGCCCACTGGAGACCCTCAGCGCGCAGGTAGCTAAAAACTCTTAACCTGGAATTCCAGCTTTAATCTCTTGAGGTTTTTTATCTCACCTCCATTAATTGGCACATCGCTCGCAAGCTTTGAACTTCAAACAAAATTGTTCCCTTTTTAAAAAACGTACAAATTGATGCACAGAAAATGTGTTTTTTTTTTATAACTTGCTGGAACTATAATGTTTTGATGCACTTTATTCCCCAAATAATCTACATTTAAGATTTAATCTTCTAAAAAATGTCTTCTTTTTTTCTCATAGAGTAGTCAGGCATGAATTGTTGCACCACCTCCCCGTTTCATCTGCACAGAAACTTACACAGAGCACTTGTTGCACCTATTAAAATATCTCCTTGTCCATTACCTCTCCCTCCTTCTCCGTTCCTCCTCAACCATGCATCTTTCAGAACCACTCGGCATCCATGACGGAGGTCACATGACTAAGGGGGCAGCACCGGGTCACGTTTGCGTCTCCACAGCACTTCCAGACACAATGACGAGGACGCATGCCACGTGGCGCCGAATGCTTACAAAAACACACACCTGGTTTATCTGTTTAAATCACCTGGGGGACAGAATTCACCATGTTTGTTGTGGTTTTCATCTTGCTTGGCTATGCTATGTTTACCCAGCCAAGATGTACAGATCAGACCAATGCAAAGGTATCACAAAGCCAACTTTACTCTAAGCACAGGTTGTTCTTTTTCCAGGTTTTCGAAATCCTTTAAAGCATGGTACATTGTTGTCCTCCATGGTGTGCCGTCTGTAGTTAGAGGATGGTGTTTTGTACGTTTTGTATGAGAGAGTGCCGTAGCCTATCCTGACGATGTTAAACCTGCACACTTCCTGTCAGCTGACTCACTGTTTTACATCACATCCTGTCAGGTGAAATGCCTCGTCAAGCACCGCATCCATCCCACTGCAATTGGAAAAAAGTTATTGATGTTGTTGTTCTGTGGTGTTTGTCATTTGTACAGAAAAAAAAACACACAATAGAGACAGAAACCTTCTTTTTATTGTCTCTCTGTACATTAATTGACCATTATGAGGTCATATTTTTTAAGGATTTTTGTTAATCTGTATAAACATTATGATCCATTTGGACCTGTTTGCTTGCTGTAAACCTGAATATGTTCTAGTATCAGTTTAGGTGTTTTGGGGAGGAACTCCTCTCCCCTTGGGAGGAAAGCTGAGGTAGAGTCGGCAACATCCTGCAAGCCAGAAAATGGGATCTAGCATCCGGTCATCAGATCCAACACTTGAAAGTGTCTTTGGTTAAAATGCTCCTTATGATTGTCTTTAATCTATGTCCTAATTAACTCTAATGTTAACAATATGTGTTAATGTGGGACATGTCAGATCTACATAAAGATTTACCCCAAGAGGATTCTAGAAAACAACCTCGATTTCCAAAGGAGGGGAACAGAATCAGAAATAACCTTAAAAGTAGCGTATAACTGAGCTTGTATTTTCATAGCCAGTGACTCCTGCTTCACTCTTCCTCCTCGAGGCACCCCTTCCTCTCCCCAACCCACCTGTGGATTGTGATGCAATGTTGTGACTCCATTTCCTATGGGAAGATAAGCCCAGCATGAAAAGAGAAGTCGATATGTTTTATAGATATTACTCATGGTCATTGTCATGTCTGTTTCTTTAGAGACAAAAAAGATTTTCATCAGAAATGCTATATATTTTTTTCTTTGTCAAAAATTAAATAGTCAGTAGCAACAGTGTGTTCTCCTGTGATTTCATTTTGTGTCTTAAGTGAAGAAGTTTTGAGTTAACATGAAAAAAAAATGCAGACAAAGATAGCCGCTCTATTCGTCAGGCAGCTTTGAAAAGCAGCCTTGATAGAAAACAAGGTAAATGTTTGTCCTTGTGTTTGTTTGAATATCTGGAGATTTAGATTTTTCTTTTACTGCATACAGATCATTTTTTACCCATCTGCTGCCGACAGCTTTGGCTGCCTTTTTTCTTTAGATTAACACAAATTGCCTGAATTCAAACCTGGGAAAAGAAAACTAACAGATGTGATCTCTAGCAGCTTTGAATGGAGTGTTGTGAATGCAATTTGATCTGAGGGATCTAAATATTTTGTGGACTTTGATACACCTACAGTAGATGTCCAAGTGATCAAATTTAGACACGCGCCACATAAAGGCTCTGATTCATGAAAAGTCAAGTGCTGACTACAGTGATTTTAATCCACATCATTAGTTTATTTAGTTGTTTGCTTTTTCTGCATTGTAATTTCTCAGATTTAGTCTTAATGAAGAGGTTCTCATTAAAAGTACAACTACAGCCATGATCATTTACGTGTAAATGTTCTGAATTACTACCATCTTACCCACTTCATATAGCTGAGTTAACAGTTAATAACTGCAGCCAAAGTGCATTTTAGCTTTTTTCTATAATTTGTGCAAAAATGACAATTAGCAAAATTGACTGGAATTTAAAGCCTCTGATTCATCTGCAGGGTTCGGCAAAGAGCTGGCATGTTCCGGTATGGGTCTGCAATTTCAGGAGAGCGTTTCTGCAGCAGTTTGGGCTCTCGTGTCGGCGGGCGGGGTTAAACAAACCGTCATGCTCGATTTTATAAATAAGTTGTGCGACTACTCAGCATTTTTGTGCTAACTTCCAACACGCACCCAGCACGTCGCAGCACCTTCGTGTGTTTCCCCCATTTCCAATTTGGAAAAATAAATAAATAAATCCACTCCAGCTGTTTTTGTCCTTAACTTTTTTGTATTGGGCTTCAATTTCTTCAGCTTGGCTCGGCACTATTCAGATGTCCGCTCGGATCCTTCAGCTGCCATCCGCTGACAAAAAAACTACTTATCAATCCGTAGCGCCTCCTGAGAGTGGACTCTCAGGATGGCTGTGAGAAATGTATGGAGCTCTGAAGATGTTTCAAAATTTGCCACTTGCTGGCATTTTTCACATTTGTGTCAAACTAATGAAAATATGAACAACTGAACTCAGAGATTTGTTTAGCTTGTTGCGTGTAGTGACGCATTTCTATCAACCAATCAGTGGACTGTGTTTTTGCTCTGCCCTAACCATACCGCTTGAAAATTTTCTGAACCTACAATAAAAGGGGGATGTGACTGGAGTGGTCCCGGTCAGTTGTCCAGACTGGTTTCACAATGAGGGACAGAAAAAATAGTGAGCCGGCCCTCCCCGTTTCATGCCAAAAAGGTTGGTGGAAATGAGGCTTAAATGTTAATGAAAATGTTTCATGAACCAGTCGGAGATCTGATTTGGGAAACTGCTTTGTTATTTGGTTTGTCCGATCTCTATCGACAAGCTAAAAAATGTCTCTAAGCAGAGGTGTTGCTTCCTGTCTTCTAAATTTTAGAGCAGTGAATAGTTATTTTTATTTTTTACTTTTGCACTGTCTTAGTTTCACATCATGCATTTGTTTTTGTTGAAATATAAAGACGTTCCTGTCACACTTGAGCCTAGATGCACTGGAACTGCTGTTTTGCTGGTGATGCTCGTTTAAGCATTGCTGATTTGCAAAATTGATTAAATGTTAAAAAAATGAATTCATAAATTTCTATCAAATAGCAGAGGCTGGGGCTTTTCATATGCCAAAAATGCACGTTAACCATTTTTCCAGTTGGAAACTAATTCTACAAACAGATGCCATTCAGAAAGCTTCATAACTTTCAAAAGGAAGCAAGCCTGGGAACAGGTAAAGTATCCACTTAACAGTTTCTTCTTTGAGTGTATAAAGGTGATGAAATCTTATAAGATGTGAATGCAATCTAGACCAAGGACCAAAACCCAAAACAATGTAAAAAAATAAACTTTTCTCATTCTAACATGGTTTAGTGATTGTAAATCTAATTTGCTTTCTCTGTTGTCAAAGCAATTCTGAAAGGCATATTGGCGTTCATGGGCCTCATTTATAAAACCGTGCTCACAGTTCTTCTAAAAAAATCCTTAAAACTTGTGCAAAGTCGTTTTTGGATCTATAGAACACCGCATGCACACAGCTGCATGTAACTCCTGCTTTCTAAATCACACTCCATACTAGAAATGTGCACAGGTGGTTTTGGATCATATCCCACCTCCTGCTCACCAACTTTCTGTCATAAATGGTCTGACTGATTTGTAGCTGAAACTGAAATGCAGGAACTTGTGGGTGAGTGAGGCACTTGCATAGGGACCATTGAGAGACCTGTGGTCAGATCCGAAGGTGGAGGCACAGAGAAGATGGCTCAGGGCCTACCAAGATATTCCAGACCTAAGGGGAACATTTACCTTCAGCCTACTTGTTGGCTAATTCCTTCTGGATTTGGTTCCTGCTGGTTGCAAGAAACCAGTGGTCAAACGCTGCAGGTTCACTGATTGCATGGTTCCGGTGGGTCGGTCAGTCTAACACCAGGCCCAGTTCAGCACATGGATCTAAAATAGGACTGCTCCAGGGGATCTAATGGGCCATTCCCATCTGTACCGGGTCGTCCTGGGCCGGGTAGCGTAGGTTGTTTACATATCTGGGTGGCCTGGTATTTTTCCGGGCCAACCAAGGCTCATTCTCAGCCCTCTTCTCGAGGGGGTCTGCTTCAGGCCGACCAGGGCCAACACACCCACTGCTGACAGCAAATTCACACCTTCCATTAGAGCAAGCCTCTGATTGGTGGGTAGAATCAGCCCACATGGGCTTAAGACAAGGATGTGTGGAATCAACCGGGCCAGGCTGGGGCTGACTGGGGCTACCCGGCCCGGGCCGACCCGGTACAGATGGGAATGGCCCTTAAGTCTGCTGATCAGCCAGTCATTGTCATAGGCCAAGAAATCTTTGTGATCCCTAAAATCTCTCTCCACCCACATCCTGGCATCCTTGATCGAACTTCAAGGTGTGCAAGTGCATCCGTTGTATCATGCATGAGTGTCTCTACATTATTTATGTATATCTATTGAGTAATCATACTAATTCACACCTTATGTACCAAGAAGTGCAATTGCTAAATACATTTGAAGACATTTGCAAAGCGCGCTGTGAAATAACACTAATTCAGGTTGTTGTATTAAGCTCCCCTCAGGTATGAGTGTAGTTGTGGCCTGTTGGGTGTGTGTGTATGTGCAAGGTCTCCAAATCTGAAGATGTGGTTTAAATTCACTATTTAGTCTCTGCACTTCCTGTTTCCCCATCTCCAAAATGTGCGTACGCAATAAGAGTCAAGAGTCTGGGTAAAGTTGCACACATTTTCCATTTACATTTTCATCTACAAATTTCAAAGTTTTCATAGAAATTGACTTATGCAATTTTCAGTCCACATTTTGTGTTTATGCATTGGCTTTATGAATGAGGCCCCAGGTTTGTTCTAAAGTCTGCAAGTCCTGCTGTTGCTTCTTTTAAACATAAGTGTCAAAAATAATATAATTTGCAGTTGCTCTGAAAAGCAAACAAGATTTACACATTATTCTGGCCCACTGCATAGGTATGGGCTGTGTGACAGCCATTTATCCCTACATTACAGCCCTAAACATGACACGTGCTCCCCAGACATGTGATTTGAAGGCACATGGATCTGCTAAAACCACCTTCCTGTTGAGGTCTTGTGTTGATTCATCCTGCTACCACTGCATCGACTTCAGTGGCATTGATGTTGCCGCTTAGCAAGGCGTACACACACACACAGGGAGACACAAAGAAAGATGACGGCTCAGCCAGTGCACTTTCTCTTTTGCTCTGTCAGGTATTCATTTCAGCTGTGACAGCCTGTGCTTACCCTGCAGACACACTGGCTAAATAGATAGGAGCTCGCTCTGGTATGTGTGTGTGTGTGTGTGTGTGTGTGTGTGTGTGTGTGTGTGTGTGTGTGTGTGTGTGTGTGTGTGTGTGTGTGTGTGTGTGTGTGTGTGTGTGTGTGTGTGTGTGTGTGTGTGTGTGTGCGCGCGCAGCAGTTTTTTTTTGACCACGCTATGTGTACAGAATTATATAATTGTTGGTGGTTCAGAATATGCCTCTTCATCCAAATTGCTGTCCCCTTGCAGTAAGAGTGGAGATGAGTGCAGCAGCCAAATATTGTATAAGTTTGGAGAGGTTTGCATATTTATTTAGCTGCAGGCTATTTCAAACTGGAATTTATTAAGATGTGTTGAACATTTGTTACTGCAGGTACATTTTAAATGGGTGTCTTGGAAAGGAAAAAACCCTATGAAATAAATCCTTAACAGTTTGATGTGCCCTGGATTTCCGCCGATGTTTGACCATTGATAAGTGACTGGTTAAAGCAAATCCTTAAAATCCTGTTAAAATAATAGAACATTTGGTCTTCAGCTGAGTCGCTTGGCAGTATTTCACATTGTTTCTGCAAACAAGCAGCATTCAGGTTATAGCGGTTGAGTTCATAAAAAAAATAACTGAAGGGGAATTATGCTCCTTTAGCTAGGATTCTATGACTCAATGTACACATTCATTTTCTAAGCCTCATCAAACCTGTGAAATACTCCGAACATTTCTGCAAGAATAAAAAAAAACCATCCAACAAGTGCAAAGGTGTTACATTTTTAATAACAGAACTTTTCCAAATTCAAACAGAAAGATGTAAGAAAAGAGGTCTTTATCACAGAAGAGCCATTTTGTGTCATCATTTGTAAATGCTCTTCACACCAAGTAACGTGTCAGTCACACCAATAGGAGTGAGTTCATGTATATAAATTGCATTTGGGTTTGCACCAGGAGTTGAAAGGTATTTCATTGTTAATTGTGGAACAACCGTACAAGCCAAAAAAAATTTTTTTCTACATTAGCTTGTCTGCTGTTTAGAACCCACAATGAAATGCCTGCATGCCATAACTTAAACTCTGGAGAGCTAAATAACAACTTTAGTTAATAAACCAGTGGTGCATCAGTGAAGTACAGGACAGCATTACACAGTGATTCATCAATAAGGTTGTGTATTGACCTCAAATCCACCACAAGATGCAAATAGTTCTTTGGCGGTGTCTCGTAAGAACTTTTAGTGGTATCTTTTACATTAGTTTCTTGCAACAGCAGCCCCATTACCGTTTCAAGGATGGACAAGACAAAGTAGCCAATGCACTACCAAACGGCAGAAACATTACACCACCTGTGTGAGAACCAACCAGTCCCCAACAGCTGCATTTTTGAGATGGATGTTTCCACAAGACATGGGAACATTAGGACTATTCTGCCTGGGTTCAACCACAGGCCATCGGACTCTCGGTGAGCCTCACCAAACTCGGGTGAATTAGTCCATTAAGCTTAAATACCAAAGAGTCATCACACCAGTGATCAAGCTTCTCATCATGGCGAGCAAATACATACCATAGAAGAGATTAGGCTTACCTCAGAGGAAATATATCAGAAGGACAAAATGAAGTAGTCAGCAGAAAAGGAAGGTCTGAGAAAAAAAATAAAAACCTAAAGGGATCAGAAAAGAGTTGAATTGAGGTTGAAAGGACAGAGAGAAAGCACACCTCTTTACTGACACAAGCTAGCAAAGCTTTCAGAACAGAATTGGGGCGAGGTTTCTCATTCGCCCTCATCCTGCTCTTCCTTTCAAATTGCATCTCAAATTGCAGAGGTCAGAAATTGTCCTGATTGAAGTCACAGAGCAGGACCTGATCCCTGGTCATCATTTAGGGAAACTCCTGAGCCTAATCGGGGATCTTGATGGCACAAGTAGGTGTTCCAACTCCAGAACCCAGGCAGGGACACATCCAGGACCAAGAGGTTTTGGAGATTAGTCCCATGTCGAGCAAGATTTCTCAGGATAAAAGAGAATGAGGCAAGCTTCAGAATTCTGGGAGTGTGTTTGTGTGTTGGTGAGTCTGCTGGTGGGACTGGGTATACTGAACAAACTGGTTGGATTGGTGTGTTGTGGTCTGACTGGGGACAGTCTGGTTTGTTTGCTGGTTTTCAGATTGGTATTGTTCAAGCTCTCGTTTCCTTCTCATGGCTGACTGCAGTTGCTGTTTAATTGCAGTTATTTGACCTTCGAGTTCTGATAGTTCCTGGACCAATGGACACCGGCTAACCTGGCCCAGACCATGGTCACCCATTCCCAGACCCCGACATGGCGTGATGCCCTGACCGGATCCTCCCTGACCCGGTCCCAGCACCCTCCCCAACAAATCTGAACGGCCATTAGAAGTAGTCACTATGGACATGTGTTTCTCCAGTAGGGGGAGAGTATGGGGATGAGGGAGAGGGGAAGGTGGTGGTGGAGGTGGAAGATCCTGAGAGGATGGTCGTTCCAGGTCATTCTGCTTGTCTTGTGGAAGAAACCTTCGCCTGTTGCAATGAGAGGATTTTGCAGGATTCCAAGAAGCTGATTGGTTGTTTCCCTCATTGCACCTGAGATAAGATACAAAAATGAAATGTCAAGAAGAAACTCTAAATGCCAAGGTGGAAGAACTCGTTATCATGTGACTGCATCTTTCTACTCAGAAGAAGTGTTGAAGTAAAGTGTAAGATAAAATCTGATTTTTTTGCACACTTAAATATTTGAAATCGACAAAGTTCAGCATCAGAAAATGATCACCTTAGTAAAATCAAAATGCAGATTTTAAGTTATAATTTTATTAAAGGAAAATGTATGTCCAAGCAGCCTGGTCTTGTGTCAAGAAGCAATTGCAAAATAGAGAAAAAATAGAGTAAACATAAAAAAGGGAGATTAATATTAATATAGATGTGACATATTGTGCCATCATGCATAAGAACACACACACACAGACAACATGCATGTTCTAGAAACATTTGAAAACTTCAAGTTTTTGCCCAAGTTCCCTATCATCACTGATCCCAGTGACCCATATAGCTTAAATGGAGGCTCACCTCAATCTATTTTGTTTGACTTGACTTAAGATTTCTAGTTTAAGTATGCTTTACTTAAGACATCCTTTTTCTATCTCTCCGTGATTTTATTCTGTTGTTTTGCTCCAGGGAGTCATAAAGGAACACAGCGATCCTGATTCAGAGTTAATGTCATTGCCTTTGTCCTCTCTTCCTTTTCCTTTCACTCATCATTCATAGTTGTGATAGGAACCTTGTGTTCATCTCCTTGGTGAAAATGTATTTATTTTTTAAATCCCCTTGAACACATGTGCTTTACCCCCTTCTTCATTGGCAGTATATTTGTGGACTTCCATGCAGTCATCGTCACCATGGGTCTGAAGAAAAGCTGAGCCTTAGATTTATGCTTCACCAACCGTAGAATGTTTAGCTAGAGGCCGACTGATATTTCAGAAGCCTTGTTAGGCTCAAAAAGCATTGAGGGCTTAGCTCAGCCCAAAAATGTTCAGATTTCCACACATCGTTTGTGGAAATTAAAAGTTAGGAGGGAAAAGAATAAAATATCTGCTTTTGTCTCAGAAATAAAAAGTAAGGAAATAATCCAATATATGTTTATTTTTATTTCAAAGCTAGAAAAGTCAGGTCATGGATGAGGTCCTGCCTCAACTGGAGGAGTTAAAATATCTCGGGGTCTTGCCTCCTGGGTGCCTCCCTGCTGAGGCTGAGGGCATGACCAACCTGGAGAAGACCCAAAGGAAGACCCAGAACACACTGAAGGGACTATGTTTCTCATCTGGCCAGGGAACGCCTTGGGATTCCCCCAGGGGAGCTGGCGCAAGTGGCTTGGGAGAGGTAAGTCTGGGCCTCTGCTTGACCACTGCCCCTGCGACCCGACCCTGTCTAAGCAGATGCAAATGGCTGGATGGATGGAAGCTAGGAAAGGAAATACAATGTTTTGGCAGTAGTCCTTTAAAGGTGCAGTGTGTAAGAATAAAGTAAGATGGCATCCTGTGGTAAAAGTTGGTTACTGCAATCACTCACTCCTGTTTCATGAGTTTCATGACTTGCCAGTTTTGGATCAGCAGCAGAAGATTTTAGACAACAAGTAAAGACAAGTCATACACCGTGAGTAGATAAGTAGATAAATACATGGTCATATCTGGTGTTGGCACTCTCGTGGTTTACAGTGGGGAACACTTATTACGGTATTATGCTAGAGGAAGTGTTGGCTTTACTTGCTGTTATCTTGCTGTGATCGACTCATTAAAGGAAGCAACGCCACGATTGACTCATCATTCACTTCACACATACATTTCTCTGTAATATTGAGTTGATAGTAATTGAAAAAGTAGCTAACTACTATTTGCTTGTTATTCATTATTTGCATTGTTAGCCCAATGTTAGCCTTGAGCCTTCTCTATCTGATATTAGGGTATACAAAAAGATGCCATAGCTGCTCAGGAGTACAAGAAGTTACTTTTGGCTCGCTCTTGTTACTGGCTTCGATTCTTTAAACAACTCTGGAGTTTTTGCCAGCCGGAGTCAAGCTACAGATGCCAGCGCTGCAGCATTAGCTCACAGGAGACATGGCAACCCCACTACGTCTCTCCTTCCTTTATTTTAAAAGGAGAAAAACTGACAACCCCCGCAGCCGTCTGAAAATGAAATATTTTTCAGTATAACGTTCCTTCCAACATGATTGAAACATAAGACTGTTTTGGGATTATTTCACTGTAGAAATCTCACTATTCTTACATACTGCACCTTTAAATTAATAGAATAATTTGAATACTTTACTGTGCATGTTTGGTGTTGCACGTTAATGTCATGAAAGGATTAAAGCTACTTGAAAAAAATTTATATTAAATTATGTAAAATGTATTTCCTGTTTAATTTGCATGTCCTTGTAGTGTTTCTACACACACACACACACACACACACACACACACACACACACACACACACACACACACACACACACACACACACACACACACACACACACACACACTTGAAATAATGTATTTTTTCCACTTAAGACGCACTTGCCATAATGATTTTTAAAAGCTTTTAAGCTACAGTGGTTACATTTGCTGAAGCTTAGCCCTCTTGAAATCAAAGGTCTTTTTTTGCCATGGAAAAAGTGGCAATAAGACTCTAATGAGATACATCTGACATCAAAGGTAAAGCATGACACTTCCAAATATAAGAACATGAAAGAACATTATTCTAGAGTGATATATCCACCTTTCAATGTGAGTGCACCTGTGCTGATAGCACAGCAACGGTGAAATAGGGAATCTTGTGGAAAGATATGTTTTATCAGATCTCTTAAGCTCTACTTCCTAAGATAACCACCACAGTTTCAGAAGCTTTTAAAGTAACACGAACAATGGATTAGCATCTGTATTTTGTGGCCAACTGAACTTCAAGCCAAGTGAAACGTCTCCTGAGATAGTCTCTAAAAAGTTTCTATAAATACTTGTCTTCCTGTCTAATGTTTGAAATCCTTGTTTTTGCTGCTTAATCAACACTCTGAGGTGTGTTCTACTGAAAGCAGAGGTTACCCAAAAACACACATGTAAGTAAAGCTGTTCATCCACACTGCGTATAATGTATTTTTAAAGTTTTCCAATTTTCTTTTTACATTACGTGAATTTTTGTAAAAAAAAAATCTTACCTACACCTAATTCTCCTTTTAATCCTAATGTTAGGATGTCCTTCACATCCCCACCTGTTCTTCTCAAAATGCAGCCCCCCTCAAGTTAAAGGAACTGTAATTCTGTATTCAGATACTGTTTTGAATTTTATTGTGAAATAGCAGGAAACACTGAAAGATGAGCTTCATTTGTCTGAAAGACTGTGGTCGTTTCTCTCAATGACATCAGATCTTTCTAAATGTGTTTCTGTGAAAGATGAACAACTCAGATCTCACCTGCTATAAACAGCTCAGAACAACCAGGTGTGAGACCAGTTACATTTCAAAACAATTTAATTCATATTCATGCAAATGTTATCAGTTTCCACTTAGATTATAAACACAGTTATGTGGTTGTTTGATGCAAAGCGTAAAAGCAGCAGAGCTTCTGTAGAACTTCTGGCTGGAATGTATGCTTAGCTAACCATGAAATGTGTTGTTTACGGTGACGTAAATGCTACACAATAGTATTTGCATAAACTGCTATGGACAGCATATCTGTAACAAGCAAGCCATGAATTGTTCATAACATTCTGACAAAACCCCACAGCAAATTATGCATTTTTCACTTCTGCTTGATCTCTTAGATATATATATTTAACCTTTTATTTAAAGCTGCTTTTACCTAACCGTCTTTCATTCGATTTTTGGTATTTTATAATTTTATGACTTTTTTATCTTTATGATTTTATGACGTTATTTGTTTTGTTTTGATCTAAGTGAAGCACTTTGTGATTTTTTTGGTATGTGATGAGTGCTATATGAATAAAATGTACTTATTTACAAAACCAACAACAGAAGGACATAGGTGTGGGAGATTATTTTCATATTCAGCTTGCATGAAAAACTCAGAGTGATAACAATTATAATCAGAGAAAAACTTTAAAAAAAATTTCAGTCAACTACACCTTTGATAATAAATAAATTGGATAGATAAATAATGGTTTTAAACAGGCGCAAAGAGTTTCTCTTCTCACTCTGAGGGTAACAAGTGATCTGCCCCTATATGATGATTTTCAGCCTCAGCTTAGTTTTTCCTGTCAGAAATTACAAAAGAAAAATAAATGTTTCCTGTGTGCTTTGTTGTCCTTGTTCCTTGTTTTTGCCTGACTGCCGCTACTCAGGCTGACTGGTTTCAACTTTTTCTCCCAATTACTTGTACCCCCTATGAAGCGTTATGTTTTGTCTTCCGGTGAATCCAGTCCTCTTCCCAGACGTGTCTTTATGCATTGGTGTTGTCTATCTCCAGTTCTGCCTACCTATTGCTATCTTAGGGTTTTCGATAATAAAAAAACACACAGTCATGATTATTTAGTTCAATATTTAGATCAAAGTTACAATTATTCATTGAGTTTGAAAACACAATGGAATGTATGTTGTTTGCAAACACTTCACCACTAGAGAAACTGCAGTGAGGCTTGCCAAGGAAAATGATAAATGATCTGTGTAGACCTGTGAGTCAGAGGACTTCTAAGCGCTTTCCACTGCAGTGAATCATCCACACACACTTGCACACTCATGGTGGTGAGCTACATTGTAGCCACAGCAGCTCTGAGACACTGGCCACATCTGACCACCACTAGGCAAGAAGGCTGAATTGCTTTGCCCAAGAACACAACAGCAGAATTCTCTGTAAGGAGCTGGGATCAATCCTGCAACCCCCCGATTAAACTGGACAACTACCCTCTGAGAAGATGCTCCATGTTTAATCAAATAGTAACAGTTTTAATAACCGTTTCAATTATGATGTTGTAGCCAAACTCTAAACTGAGCAACAAAACTGATGAATTGTGCAGCCTAACCTTTTCATTCTAATTAGGAATAATTCCTTGATGCATTATTGTTGGTTGTAGCTTTGTTTCTTCAAAACTTCAGGATCCATACAGCATAGATGTTATAGATCAGTAGAATGTGGCGTAAATATTGTTTTATCCCGAACGTTCGTCTTGTCTAGCTCAGAATTAACAATTTCGTTTGGCCCTTCAAAAAAATGTAGGGTTTTAAATGGAGACTAGGCTGTTTTGGGTTGCTTTTAGCACCCCCTAGTATCCATTTAGTAGAACCAAAAGCAAAACTCATCTCCTCGCTGTGCGTTCGTCTTTTTAACACCTTAATCTAACAGCTGAAGTTTCTCCCCAGCCCTAATTAGTGTCTACCGGAGTGATTTATCACTACATTAAACAAATCAGCTGTGTTCATTATCTAAAACAAGCTAGAAACATGCTGGAGGCAGACTGCAGTGCAAGGTAGGTCAGCTCAATTTCAACAGACCAGAGTGGCACTCTGAAGTTGTAAATGCAGTATTCTGCCCACAGGGCGGTGGGGGTCTGAGTGACTATTCTTTAACCCTGTAAAGGGTCATTTTAGCACATACTGGTTCAAGAAGATGATTTACAAATTGCAAAAAAGTTGCCTAGTATCCCTTTAAAATCAATGTTCCCAATTATCTCCAACACCGGTGAGTTTATTTTTTCTTCCTTGTAAATTCAAGATTATTATAAACGTAAGAATGTTTAGCTTTGGATTAAAGTGATGGTTATAACTTGTTGAGTTTTCTTGCACATCCTCCATTTTGGCTTTAGACCTGTAAGAGATCCAACACTGGAACCTTTTTCACTGTAAATTATTCAGCATTAGATGTGAAGATCATCAAACTGCAGTGCATCGCGTACAAAGCAGATATTTGACACTGCTTCAAGTTTCTGTTGGAAGCTGACATTACGACGGTAATAATTCCTGACTTTTCGACAGCATGCAGGCAGGATGCAGAAGAGCTTGATTGAATGAGTGTAGCTATGCAACAGTAGGCAGTCTGTCCTCATTAGCATGGGCATCCTTCATGAGGACTTGTCTCTGTAATCATTACATGTATTTAATCCTCACTTTGAGGGCCCCAGCAGAGCGTCTGCTTCGTGTTGAGTACGGATAGATGGAAAATATCAGAGAAGCTGAATTCCTGAAGCAGTTAGAATAAGCCAACGTTTCAGTAAAAACTTACAAAATTCAAACAAAGACTTCATGACTTGCTCTGTCTCACTATTTCCCACATTACCCTGAGGTCAGCGTGAGATTATTTCCTCAACTTCCTCACATAATTGCTTTCCAACAGGCTGACCATTCTCTTTCATTTCTGATTAAAATGCGCCTCTTAACTGCCACTTGGATGTTAATTGATGTCACTTATTCTCTGTCAGATAATTTGGCCAATGGGGCATTTAAGTTTGGAGAATTGAGTTCCCGCTGGAACTGTGAATATGTGTTAGATTATGTCTCCCATATTTTATTTAGAGTGACACATAAATGTTTGATGACTTCCTTTTTACATCAAAGCAGTAGTGGTGCTCATTACATTTGCTGTGAAATACTATCACATTATTTAAAGGTCCAAAAGATATAAAAACAAGAAGACTGCAGTCCTTTAAGGACACAGTATTGTTGACATTCATGTTTAGTGGCTGCCTGAGGGGAAAAAAGAAGCCATGTCTGATGGTAAATGACTTGTATTTGATGTAGCGCCTTCTGGGCGTTCTAGTTCTACAACCCCCCAAGGTGCTTTACAACACAACCTGTGATTCACCCTCTCACACACACATTCACACGCTGGTGGCATGCTGACAGTAGAGAGATTGTCAAGTACAGGCTCCACTGCTCTCTGAACAGCACCAGAAGGCAAAGCATGTTAAGTGTCCTGCCCAAGGAAAACGACTGCAACCGACGAGGCTTGAACCTGCAACCCTCTCGTTACAGAGCGAGCTCTTAGCTCATCTGCCACTATCGCCCCCAAATAAATAATTTCACATGCACTGTTCTGTTGAGTTGATCTTAAATGAAATGACTACAAATCCAACAAAGTAAAATGACGAATTAGTTACGTATCACACTGGTGCACTGATCTATTCTATGCTGTTGCTTAGCAGAGGCTGCACAAAGAAAAGTTTTACCTTTTTTCGGGTTTGGCGACAGTTGGTAGTTTGTCATCAATGAAGGTGGAGTTGAGGGCTCGGTGTAATCTCTGGAGAAAAAAACAAATTAACTGAATCTTAAAGAAAAACAACTTTTCTATTTACAAAAACAGAAGTGATCAACAAAGTTGGAGTCAGAATTCCATTGTAGGCCTAAAACAAATGGGGAACCTCTGCCAAATTTTAAAATAGAAATGTTTGTACCATATTTATGACAAATGATGGGCATAAATAAAGAAAATGGTGCCATGTTTCTTTAGTCATTTTGTCTTTGTTAAAAAGAGATTATTAGCAAACTTTGCTGGCCTAAACCAGTGATAGTTTGGGGTCACAACACAAGCACGATCATTTTTGATTAGAATAAAAAACGATGCAGCTACTGATTGTGTGTTCAGCTAGAAAAAACAAGAAATGACTAAATTTAATTTCATAGCAAAGGAACTGTGACTGTAAATGTGTTCATGCTTGAAACTTGTAGGTTTTGTTAGGGTGCAATTTACTTCTACATACAGTTTTAAATCTTAGACTCAGCTCATGACTGTGAGAGTGCTGTGATGTGTTTTGTGTTGGCCGGTACCTGACTAGTGTGCAGCCAGTATGTGGAGCGTGGGTCTTTGACCCGTGGGATCACCAGCTTGTACACAATATGTTCTGCTATAGTGGTCAGAAGAGATAAGGCCACGCCCACACACAGCATCACAAACAGACCAGAAAAATGCTTTATTCCCATCTGCAGTGTCTGGGGAGGAGGAAAAAACAAGTGAGAAAGGACGTGAAACAAATGTGGGGGTTTGCAGAAAGAGACAAACAGAAAATACATCAGCTGGAACCTTAAGACTTCCTGCTGCCACAATCGGTGCCCATTATAACAGAGGTTCACCTCAACAAAGTTTCCAAACATTCTCTGAAATTTGAAAACAAGATGGGGCACATGGGACCTTTCAAAAGATGTAGGTGAGAAGACCTGTTAGAACCAAAGAAACTGGTAAATAGTAAATAAATAAAATAAAAGGAGACCACTTTCTGTCAAGCCTGTTTCACACCAAGTGCAGAACGGATGTGGTCCGAGATTTGTACGGCTTCTGGACGGACTCCCATTCACACTGGCTGTGGTTCCTCTGCTGATTGTCTCCAGGAGTCTGATCCCACAAAAGCACTAAATGATTAGAGATTTGACATATTATGTTTAAAGATATTGCTATCGATCTTAACAGCGTGTTTGTCGTGTTCATGTCAAATTAAACTGATCACAAAACACAGATTTACTTTCTTTATTTTGTTTTCCTCATCCAACCCCCACAAATCCCTGTGTGTTGTCCTGCAGCACTCCCGAAGGACAGCAGGTAAAACAAGACAAAAAAGTCTGACGTGTTGTGTAAAAACTGCTGTTTTTAGCATATATTTCAGGTCTGACGTGTTGCTACCAGACGTACAGTGTGAGCAGTCAGGTTGCATCCGAGAACTGGGTCGTGCAGTGTGAGCACATGACTCGTGACATCTGCCCTGCGAGGAAGTCGTACAGTTTGAGCTGATGCTGAGTGCTACGAGTGAAAAAGTCGCACAGTGTCCGCCCAGCTTTACTTTCAGTAATTTAGAACCAACTCAGTCCGGTTTTTAACCAGAACTGTGTTTTCAGACACACCACTTTTGTACCGGAACTTGTCCTTTCGACTGCCTTCACGCAGGGAAGAGTTCCAGATGTCTGAGGAGGAGGGGGGGGGGGGGATTCGGACTTATGTTAAGCATAATTCTGCGCACACGAAGACGCATAAGAGACCTGGATGATGAAGCTCAATGGTTAAAGGAATCACGGAAGCGGTGTGAAGTTCTCCGTCACGCGTCTAGATGGTACCGTAGGAGGCAAGCTGCCATGGTTCGCCGCATGCTACAGGAGCGGGCTATCTAGGTGCGCACAGCGTCCTCCGGTCCCCTCCTCTTCCCCCTCCTCCCTGTCCGGAACTTGACCTCACCGGTCTGAAGTAGCCACCTTGTCCGTGACAAGTCCGGACCTGTTACTAGGGGCATCGTCCGGTTTAATTACGGAAAACGTTATCCGGATGTTTGTATTCAGACACAAAGGTCTTAAGGACAGAGTCCTGAACATTTCCGTTTTTCATGGCCTGTCTGAAGGGGGCTTAGTCCTCTCACATTTGGCAAAATGACCTGGATAATGCAGCACATCATTAGCCTAGTGAACTAGACCAAATTCTTGCTTTGCAAAGTTTGGTCTAGGCACGCTCCATTGGAACCTCCGCAGCTCCTACAAGGACTCTGGCTAGCCAATCACAGCTTTCTAGAGGGGTTTCAAACACATAAAGAGCTGTGATTGGTCCATAATGGTGGGCCAAACATAGTGCTTAAGATCTGCTAAGATCTGCTTAGTGAACAAATCACAGAGCTTTATCCGCTTTGTGGGCCAATCAGGGCACTCTATATGCCTGGTGGGTGGGATGATGCAACAGAGTGAAACAAGAGTATGTCACATTCATTGTCCAGTGGGATGCGGAGATCATTTGAAAGACAACGGTAGAACCCGCCCCACAACCGAGAGCTGTCAATGGATCGTTGCCAGACTAAATAATACATTTATTTAGTCTGGCTTGCCAGGCTAGCACATCATGTGACCTTTGTGTGAATTCATCTGTCCTCCCCCTGCTGATTCCTCTGGCAATGGCCACATTTACAAATGAAGGGATGCTAATTGGAGCCATCAGAGTCATCAGTGTGGACCTCAGGACTTCAGGGGGGATGTTGAAATTCTTGGGACTTCTAGTTTAACGTAGAGGAACAGCGGCTCCCGCCTTCAGCCAATAGAAATCACAATCCCTCTCCTTTTTGTTGTTACCTACAACTCATGATCATTGGTGATTTGTTGTGGGACTTTTTGGAGATTTGGAGATGCTTATCGTCATCCCGACTTTTTTTTCCCACACTTTACAGCTGAAGATTGTATCAAGATGATCATCATCCACAAAAAGCAAAGACGTCATCTGAAGCTTCACAATACCAAGAAATTCCACCTTTTGTGTCTGCCCTAAAATTCTGTTAATAGAAGTTATAAACAGAGCTGGTAGCATCCCTGGTGGAGCTGAAAACACAAGTATGGTTTACGACTGGAAATGTCAACGAAGATCTGACATCAGTTTGGTAAGGAATCGAACTTCCAAAGAGTCAAAAGCCTTCACCAAGTCAGTACAACACAAAGATCCTTTACTTCAGGTCTGGACATGGCACAAATCACTACGGTAGTGGTGGCTGCATTACAAATGCATGACAGATTAGATTCATCATTGCAGTTGGAAGGCTAGGCATTATGAAACACAACATTTTTCATTTAAAAGCTGAACAAAACAGACAACTGTAGCTTGAGGTTGCTGGGGGGTTTATTTAAAACTTTGAATGTGTTTGCATGCATGCAGCAACTGTTGAGGTAACATTTTGCTTCAGACTCACCATGCTGAAGAATCATTATTTCAGTGCTGCTTTGCATGGGTTAGCATTACAGCAAGAATTAAATATATCAACAAGGCACATGGGTGTTTGCTAATTATGCATGGTGGCGCAGATGTTAGCACGGTTGCCTCGCAGCAAAAAGGTTGCAGGTTCGAAACTCGACTGCAACCTTTCTGTGTGGAGTGTCATGTTCTCCTCATTTATGTGTGGGTTTCCACCACGTACTCCGGTTTCCCCCACAGCTCACAACATGCCCTATAGGTTAACAATTGAATGTCGCTCTGGATAAAAGTGTCTGCCAAATAAATAAACATAAACTGTTGGTAACAGACCCATGAAGGAATCTATCTTTCTCCCTGAAATAAAAAAAAATAAAAATAAAAATAAAAAAACAGCACAGCAAAGAAAGAAATAAAAAAGTAGAAAATGTTGAGCAGGCTTGTGAGTAATTCATCTCATCCTGCTTTCATCACAGAGTTAACCTGTGGCTCTCTCTAACTGTAGGCAGCACAGAATTAGACAGAGCCTACCATTTTAAATCTAAGATTTTAAGCATCCAAAGATTTAACATAATATTTAATTTTGTGAGATTACAGCAAAAAACAGCTGAACATTGCTGCGTGGCATTCATTCAATGGCTGATAGATGAAGCAGACAAAAATAGAACCTTGCTGCTTATAATTGCTTGCAAACTGAGTGATGATGTTGAAAAGTGGAAAGTACCTGAAGCTCTCTAAGATGCCTGCTGCTGCAGATGGGATCTACCTCCCATTCAACTCCTTTACATGGAAAATGGCTCACTTTTGCCAGACGGATTCTGTGGAATTGCTACGTGCTGCTTCAACTGCTGATATGAAACTCATAAGATTGTAATTTACAATCAAACTTCATATTACAAATTCAGGTGATGCTGCAGTTTGCTGGACAAGACTTGAGGACATATTAACAGGATGTAGCAGAAATGTAACTGCTGAGAAGTGCCAGACCAAGCAGGACAATACGTTAAAAACGTTTCGAGTTGTTCTGTGTGCAGTTTTTACTGAGTCAGGAAGTGTTTTGTGAGTTTACAAAATCATGGCTGGTTGAAGGGATGGCCAGGCTGTTAAAAGAGCTAACTGCCTGGTAATAACAGAACAGATTAGACATATTTTGGTAAACAGCTTTTCAACAGATGAAGGGTCAGAGACCGAGTCCCAAATTAGAAAGGAGCAGTAACTGTACATGAAGGTTGTGGAGAGCAGAAATTGCATTTTGAGAGTTAAACCTGAAAAGTCATTAAGCTACAAGACAAATCTTCAGCATCACAAGCTGCAAAATAGAAAAACCCCCTTCATCTCTTCTGTTGACAAGAAATTCATCTCCATGCATAGTTAATTTTAAACACAGACAGTTCATCTTGTGTCAGCTCTACACCAGCAGCACTTACCTCAGTCACAGCAAAGCTGCGCTTCCCGCAGGGCACGACCTTGTACCATTTGTCATGCAGCATGTCCATGAAGCCATCGGATTTGTACTGACTAACCAGCTCCGAGAAGTTTGATGTGAGCGGGGAGTTCTGGGGAAGGCCGATGCCGTAGCCTGCCAGTGGCGACACACACACGCACACACACACACACACACACACACACACACACACACACACACACACACACACACACACACACACACACACACACACACACACACACACACACACACACACACACACACACACACCATGAACTTCTTATTTCATCTTTTGTGTTCTCTGCTAGAGAGGCTGCTGAGGATATTTAAAGTTGGAAACCAACTCCATATAAAAAATTTGTTAAACAAAGCAGGTACTTAACGTCAGTCTATCTACGGATGCCAGGAGAGTGTGACAAATTCTGCCACAGCCAATTACAAAAGTACCTTGGCCACACTGATTGATTTGTATTGTAGCCTGGAGGCTTAAGGGTGCATTAAGTAATTACCAACAGCACTGGAATATGGGGCTGCTGCAGCCTGTAATGGAAGCAACTGCCATGGGAACATTTTCACAGTGGGAGGAAGAGGTTTGCTAAATGGACCAGAGATTACCGATAGACAGTAGAGAGAATGTAAGCTTTTGAAAGCCAAAAGATTAACTATTGTGCAAAGTCTGAGTGATTGATATTGTTAAATTTAGGGCTCTTGTAAAGTTCTCGCTGTGGGAGTGTTTAACTGATGCAGAAAGGCCTCTGCATGATCAAAATCAGGGCAAATAATCTATGTAAATGTGAATTTTGCTGTGGTGCCAGGTTTACTAGATCAAAATGGCAAAATGTTCAAATTTCAAAAAGTTCTCTATCTGAACTGAGTGACCACACATGTAAGTAAAGCAAAAATTGCTTCCTTTTTTAGATGTTTGCTGAAGGAATATTCAGAAATGGAAAAGGATGTAACTGAAGGATTTGACTCTGTGAGAGAGTTTCTGTAAGCAGGTGAAAGAGATTAAAATAAAGTGTTTTTTGGAAACAGTGAGTTATTTTAAAAAACTTTTACAAAACCAGGGTAAAAATAAATCACAAACAAACAGAGTTAGTGGTCTGCTTGAGCAAATTTAATCAAATTAATCCCAGTCATTTTCATAACAATGGCATCAAGCAAGTCAGTAAACTATTATGAACTCCTTCCTATGACATTCTGATCTAATGTGATATTTACATTTTACCATCTTTTACATTTAGCTAAATGCTCAGGATAATTTATGTTCCTAAACATGCAAGTTATTTTTAGCATAAAAATAACAAATTACCTTCGATTGCAAAGGGTTTCCCAACCGTCAGTGTTTTACAGTCTGCATCTATGGAGACCTCATAGTCCAACAGGGCTTTGTCCATGATGAAAGCATCTAGTTTCTGGGGATCAGCCCTGGAATTGTACAGGATAAATATTTATGTTCACAGTTTTAAAGCTTAGGTCACATGAACAACAGGCAAAGCTTGTTGTTACTTGTACAACGATCCAAATGGGAATGACTTCCAGCCAAAAGAAACAAGAGTTTACATTTTGTGGATCGTAGCTGAAGTACAATAATGAGCTGATGAATACTGAAGTCATCAGCATGCAGTGCATCTAAAATGACCACTCACTCACTCACTCACTCACTCACTCACTCACTCACTCACTCACTCACTCACTCACTCACTCACTCACTCACTCACTCACTCACTCACTCACTCACTCACTCACTCACTCACAGACTCATTTTCTTAACCACCTATTCCTCAGTAGGGTCACTGGGAGTAGGAACCTATCTCTAGTTGTATACTGGTGAAGGTTCTCATCCAGTTCATGTAATCCAAAGGGGTTCGAATGAAATCAACTGGACTTCTTTGGTTTCTTGTAGATGTTTTACTTCTCACCTGAAAAATAAACTACATTAAATAGAGGGGGAGGCCTCAGGTTTCACTTTTCCATCACCTACAATGCAGCTCTGAGCCTAACTCCCAAACAATTTCAGTCCAGGTCACACACCCTGGCATCTCATCAATACAACAATTTCCGCACAATAGATGCTAACAACTCCACCGACTCATCAGGTAATTTCTGCTCATTAAGCAACAATAGACAACTATAGATTATAAGCGTGACCCTCACATCTTCCAGTCAGACTTGACAAAGCTCCTTGGATGAAAAGTGAAATTTCTTCAAGGAACAAAATAAGTCAAGTTGCCTTCATTTGAACCCTTTTGGATTATCTCTAGTAGTCATTGATCAACAGGTGGGGGACACCCTGGACAGGTCTCCATCCCATCACAGGGATATACAGAGACAAAAAACAGCCACTCACTCACACCTAGTGACAATTTAGGGTCTCCAGTTAAAATTAACATAACCAATTTGGGAGGAAGCCAAAGTACCTGGAGAAACCCACACACACGGGAAGAACATCTTAACTTCATGCAGAAAGGTTGCAGCTGGATTTGGACCAGCAAACTTTCTTGTTGCAAAATTTCTATCATCTGGGCCACAACGTAGTCCTTTGCAAACACTTCTCAAGCTTAAAAGTAAATTGTTCTTTGAGCTTCTAACGTCCCAGGAGCCCGGATAAATGCCAAACTCAACCCCATAATAAAAGCATACAATCAAAAGACTGGTTTTCCTCGTTCACTCAGCCAGGACATAAAGATTAAAGTAGATGCATGCTGACTGGTTGCAGTGCAGGCCAGGGTGGCGGCACAGACAAGGAAGCATGCAGCCATGCTCTGTTGTCTGGGTATCAAGCTGTCATTCGTTTAAAGTCTGGATATTATCAGTACATCCTGGAATATGAGTGGTCCAACATTCTTCTTTGTTGTTTTCCTCTCATTCAACAAGGATGTTAGCAGCATATTGGGCTAGAGTTAGCAGTGACCCAGCCTGGCGTTGTTCTGCAGTTAGTGTAACCATGACCAACATTTATATGTTGCAAACTTTAAAGTGGGTTGGAACATGCAAATTTAAGGAGGTGCATATCTAAGCTTATAAAGTGTTAAATCAGCGTTTCTCAGAGTGAACCGTTTCTGCCTTGTCTTTACAACATTATTAATTTACATAGGAAAGCAGGTCAGAGAGGGCACAGGGTTCGGTAAGCTACATTAAACACCTAGCCTGGCAAGCCAGACTAAATAAATGTATTATTTACACACTTTGCAAAGCAAGAATTTGGTCTAGTTCACTAGGCTATCAAACACCAAAAGCTACTCACATTTAATGGCAGCAAGGTAAACGTGGCTTTAAATTATAGTTCTCATTTGATATGACACAGACACACATATATATATTTTTAATGTATAGTAGGATATTATATTTTTCCCAAACCTGTACTTCCAAGCTGTATTGCCCAAGATATTATCTGACTCAGCTGAAAATTTATAAGGGAGAGTCTCCAAAGCATCTCAAAATGTTTGCATGGGTTCTGGGGTTATTTTGCACAATATGTAAACTATTTATCTCGTGTTTCTTTCCAAATAATCACAGAGTCATTTTGAAACCCCTCCTGAATCTTTCTTGCAAAAGCTGCTGTTGGAGCAAAAGAATGAGGGACAATCTTGGGAGTAGTTGGTGACCTAACCCAAGGTGCTGAATACTATATAAAAACATAAATATTTGTCAAAAAACATAATTAAGGCAGTTTGTGACCAATTTGCAACAAGAAAATAGTCATATAGAAAACCTCTTTGTTTGTTACTAGTTGACAACAGCTTCAGCCCATACAATACTCGCTAGTCAGATGACTTCATTTCTTTTAATGTCTACTACAATTCCTCTTCACTCAAAGTTAAAAGTGATTATAAGCACAAATCCAGTTTTAAGTTAACTAAACTGTTTGGTTTCAGACCAACTTTTTATGTTTCAATACGTTTTCACGCATGTATGTCTAGTGCATGTGAAGAAATCAACAATAAAGCTATCTCTCACTGTCTGGTTTGGGTCAGCCACAAAAATGGAAAAATGCTATTAAAACCGCAGAAAAAATCATTGGTGCCCAACTGCCCTCTGTCCAGGAACTGTACATCAGCAGGACCAGGAAAAAGGCAGTGAATATTGTCCAAGATGCCACACATGCTGTATCTACTCTCTTCCATCTCCTCCCATCTGGCAGACGCTATAGATCACTGTACACAAAAACTACCAGACACAAGAACAGTTTCTTCCCTTCAGCCATTCTCTCCTGAATCTGTAGATTCTTTTACCATCCTTTTATTATAGGTTTTAATACTTATTCAGTATGCTTATGGATGTGTGTGTGCGTGTGTGTTTATGCATACATGTATATATGTGTGTGTATGTATGTGTGTATGTGTTTGTAAATGTACATGTGTGTGTGTATATATGTTCTTATGTGTTTTTATGTATTTTTATTCTCATTTATTGTAGTTGTTGTATGTTTTTAGAGAGCAAACATCTACCGAAGCTAAATTCCTTGTAAATGTAATTTTACTTGGCCAATAAATCTGAAATCAGAAATCTGAATCTTATCTGTAAAGGACATATAAATAGAAAGCCCTGAAAGATGTAGTCAGGATTCTAAAACGAACTTTAAAGTTTATGGGTAACCAGTGCAGATGCATTAGAATAGGAGTGATGTGTGCTCTTGTGTTTGCTTCAGTTAGGAGTCTTGCTGCAGAGTTCTGAGCCAACTGAAGGCAGCCAAGGTTTTTTTTGTTTAAAACTTGTGAAAAGTGTGATACAGTGATCTAGACAGGAGGTGATAAAGACATGGATAAGCATTTCAAGTTCATTTTTTTACAACAACCTTCACAGTTTGGAGATGTTTCTTAAGTGATTAAAAACAGTTTCAGACCAATGTTTTGGAGTGGCCTTCAAAATACATTGATTGGTCAAAAACAACTAAATTCCTCAAGTTTGACTTGATGACAGAAGTTAAGTGACCAAGTTGTTGACTAATCAGGACAACCACGCTCTCAGGGGCAATGATCAGACATTCAGTTTAACTGAAGGAAGTTATCTTTTAGAGCTAGTGATAGCTGATATGGCTCAGAATCCTTAAAGGAGCAGCAGAGCTGAATGTCATCTGCAGTTGATAGGAGACTTCCTGAAAAGAATCAATCATCTGCCCAACAGGGTATATATATATATATATATATATATATATATATATATATATATATATATATATATATATATATATATATATATATATATATATATATGTATATATATATATATATATATATATATATATATATATATATATATATATATATATACACACACACACACAGACACACACACACACACACACACACACACACACACACACACACACACACACACACACACACACACACACACACACACACACACATATGTATGTGTATAGATGACAGAGCCATGTGGTACCCCACAGAACAGATCTGACATGATTCGGTTTATACAGACAGTAATATTTCTGTTAAAAAATTCTGTTAGGTCTGTAATTTATAGGCTGATATGAGTCCAGTCTGGGTTTGTTACAGATAGGTTTAACAACTGCATGTTTGAAAACAGATACAGATACAGAGCTAGATTGGAGAAATAGATTAATAAAATCCACAATGCGTGGGTCAATTTGGTCAAAGACCCTAGGAAGCAAAGCAGTTGGAAGAATATTAACAGGGCATGAATTTGGTTACATATTTTCCTAAATAAGACAAATGGTCCATAAAATTTACAGGAGTAAAGAAGAATCATGATTGGGAGAAATGTGGTTGGATGGGAGAATGGGGTCAAAAAAACGTGCTCTGATTTCTGTTTATTCTATTTATTCCATTTTATTCTCTTGAGAATATAGGTAAAGTGTTAACTGCAATTAATGATAAAACAACCAGAGTAAAGGCACAAAATGAATGAAAAGGAAACAAATAGGGCATGAAGAGCAAACTTTTTTATTCAGAACTTTTCAAAAATTGCTAACAGCAGGTGGAAAAAGAATCAATAACTTTCTCCTCACCTTTTACCTCATCTGAACCTCACAAGCACCGATCTTTTTCTGTGTGTTTTCCGCTCCTTTTTCCTGACCACCACCTGCCTCTAAAATCAAAGCCTGCCTACACGTTTTCCGGGTTTATTTGTATTCCTTACTAGTCGGCTGCACAAAGTTGAAATATTAATTCACAACGCTCTCAGAGAGGCTTTTACAAGTTAATTCTAAAATCCGTCTTTCTTAAAGCTGCACCCAGCTGGGATAATGAATGCTGAAAAAGGCCTTTCAAGTTTTACTGTATGTTTCAATTTTCATCATGTATGTTTTAAATCCCTCTCCATCTTCTAACCTCATTTAGGCTGCTAATGATCTCATTACCAAATAAACCTCCTCAAAACAAACACAATGCAAAATCTCAATTTCTACTTGATACGAGCTGCCTGCTTTATCTTCCTTACGT